GTTTTGTGCTTCCGTTGGTCCTCGTGCTGCTCGAGCGCGGTGTGTTTCCTGACCGATTGATGATTTGATGTGATGGATGGATGTGAATGATCCCGCTGAACTCTCGTCGAGACTTTGTTTCACATGGCTACATCTCATGTAGGGTTCTGCCAATCCCGTCCCCCCCTCTCGAGGGAGGGTCTTGGTACGACCCCCACCTAAGAGGGCTCGAAACGACCCCCTCCCCAACACCTATCCAAAGATTTTCGGGGGGGGTATAGCCATTGTCAAACGGGAAAATTTCTTAGATTTTCCCAACTTCCTACCACTTTTTCCGAAATTTTCCTGAAAATTTCCTCTACTTTTACCCAAACATTTTACTGTCGAGAGGGGCGAGGGTGGGGTATATAGTTCACATGAAGCAGTAATAATCACGTAAAGTCAACAAACGGGAAAAATTTCTCCCCAACGCGGCAGATTTCCCTCTAAGCCACATACAACTCCCCTCCCTATCCCAACAACGATCAAATACGACCCCCTCCTCAACGGAAAAGTACGACCCCCTATGTGTTTCACACAACGGTGCTGCACCCTGTCAATGGGCGACAACTGCGAATGCCCATCCTTCAGGTATCGGTTAGTTGATGCAAAACGTGCTTGTGCAGATAAAAACAACAACATTTAATAAGCTGGGCCCAGTACCCAAAGTCGGAAAAAGTCGGACTGAAAGAAGAATCTCAATCTTATTCACCATGGTTGAGATCGTCATCAATCCACCGTCGTCGAAAGAAAACTTAGGAGCTATGAACTCAGAACTATATAATGGTCGGGAAGCTCGCAAACAAAGGAAGAAGCAACGGACAAAGTCACGCTTTTTCCCGGGCACTCTGACGTGGTCTGCAACGCCCGACAGATAGCGACGATATCAACTATAATTGAGACTAGCTGGTTCAACCTGATAAAAAAATTAAAAAAAAGATAAAAGCTCTATATCTATTTCTTCACCATACCTACCACTTCTGAATGAAATAAATCGATGGAGTCTTCACTAGTGATCAATCCCTTTTTGGTATCCGGCATGCATTCTACTTCCATTTAGTGGCTTATGGATGATGTGGCCCATGCATAACATGCACGGATCATGCGCAATCGTTTATATGACTCTCACTTGATGCTAATACTCTTGTGGATCCCAGCCAGGGTACAGCATCGTGATGTGTGAAATGGTAGTGTAGGTACGACCCCCCCTCCGAAGAAGGTGTCAGTACGATCTCCCCTCCCACCTAAATGAGGGTCTCGGTACGGCCCCTCCCCAACACCCACCTACCAATTTCCCACATTTTCCAGTCCAGTTTTTCACCCAAAAATTTTCTGGCGAGTGGGGGGGGAGTAAATAGTAAAATAGTACATACGTAACAGGAAAAATCGCGCGAAAAGTCAACGAACAGGGAAAATTTTTTTCTCAACGGCGTATTTCTGCCATACGCACATACGATCCTCTCTCTCCCAACGACCAAATACGACCCCCCCTCTCCCCAGTGGAAACGCACGACTACCCCTATGTATTTTACCACAACGATGCTGTACCCTGATCCCAGCCCTACATGAGATATTCCCGTGACGTCGTATCTACGTCACTAACCTGCCGAAGAAAGAATAATGTGAACTAGTGAACGTAGACAAGGGAGCTTTTCTCTTATCTTTTCCGTTACAGAGCACCCTACCTCGTGGACGCAGTAAACAGTAGATCTCTAAGACGACCAGACAAAAAGTACACCACCGGTCACGACTAATGAGTGAAATAATTTTTTTCTA